CTGGCTTTCAATGTGATGGTGTAATCTGGAATTTGTCATCTCGCTGTTGCTTATTTTCCTTGCATATTTATAAATTATAATTAATTTTTATTATTCATTTGAAATTCTTATAAATTTGCAAATACTTAATTTTTCGAACCTACTGCAAGGAAAATGAGCGATAGAGAACTTCAGAAACCAAGCAGCATCATACATATGAGACCAGATAGTCGTGACCTCGAACCAAAAGCAGAAATGCAACACGAGTTCCACCAAATAAGAGCACAGGAAAAGCTCACAAGTGACAATGCTGGAATAGTCTCATCCTCATCAACAATGAACCAATGTCGACATCCTATCTGGCGCTGTGCGCCCAGACTACAAATGGCAGATCCTATCTAGCCTATCTACAATGCCGCTGGTGACGTCAACAGCTCCCCGAAGTACGAGCAGATCTCGGCCAATGCCGTTCGCCTCAAGCACCAGGTATGTCTCTCGTATCACTCACAACATCGATCCCCCACTCACAGAAGCCACATGCACCCACAGGACCACCATGCGCCCCATCCAGCTCAGCGCAGCGCAGCTCGGCTATGGCTGCCTGCTCTCCCTGCTCGCCCGTGACCGCGTGGGCCTGGCCAGCGATTAGCGTGGCAGCGCTTGCCCAGCACGCAGCCAGTGCCCGAATGCCGAATCTGGAGGCAGGCCCTTTCCTAAATGGAAGTGGTCTGCCTGCTGCGCGAGGCAAGGCTGCACTAGGCCCCGGCCCAGAAGCTTCCGGTAGGCCCCGTGAGGCCGAGCCTCAGTCCAGACGAATCAGGCCCAGGGCCTGTGGTGGTTACCCGTGGCCAACTGCCCACAGCCTGTGTTTGGTCCATGTTGCGTATCTGGCCCAGGGCCTGCCTCAGTTACATTTGATAAAGGCAGCCTGGGCCTGGGCGCTTTCAACCAACTGGCGCTGCGCAACTGCCTGAATTTTCCCCAGTTGCGTGGTAGTCCAAAATAGGCCTAGGTCGGGCCTGCCTTCACTTAGGGCGGCCGACCTTGCTGATAACAGGGCCCAGTAGGGCTTACCAAGGCCTTGTGCCTCGCACTACTTTTAATTCATGCTTTTCCAATAATTTTGAAATACATTGGAATTAAGTAAATTCTTTTTTGATATTTCCTTTTTCAAAATTCGAAAATAATTTTAATTATTATTTTTTTTCTCGTATATTTTAATTCATAAAATTCCCTTTTTCGAAATTTTCCTTGAAATTCGAAAACGCCTTATGATCAATTCTTTTTCGAAATTCTTTCTTGAAATTCGAGGAACTTTTTTTTTTTTTTTTTTTTTTTTGAGAAGTTATCACTTTATATTTCAAAACAAAAGTGGTCGAGGCCAGGGACCTCACAATTCTACCCGGTGTTGCCAAGGAAGAGAAAAACCTGCTGGAAACCGGGTCCAGCGTCCCAAGACCACTCAGCCTCAAAAGGAAGAAGAACTCCTCAAAATAGCCTTGAAGCACAGAAAAAGGTGGCTGAACTAATCATAGCAGCAACTCTCCACTCCTTCAGCCTATAATGCAATATCCTTGCTGCACAGGAAAAAGCCGGCATGTTTCTAGGATCGAAACACTATTGGCAAAGAACAACGAACTATAATCTGCAAATCTCGAAAAAGGACAAGGCAATTCACAAAAGTTATACAGTTTAACCCTAAAATTATTTCCTAAGGCAAACTAAATTCTCAGATACAATTCAAATCTAAATTTCAGACCAAGTACTTACTAAATTTTTAACTGGGCACACTAATATTATCAACAGTAAATAAACGATTGAGAACAACCAATCCAAATTCCAAGATCTATCAAACTAGAAAAAGGAGGAATCTCAATGACTAAGAGCTGGGAGGGAGGAGTAGACATTAGGGTTACTCTTAACCTCACTATCCAAAACGCTGTAAAGAGCCTTTGTTGCCTAGACGGGTTTCCCACCGCGCACCCAATGGATACAACTCTAGTTTGCTCTTCACCGGGTCTCTCATATCATCCCTACCCTGTGAGTATCACCCTAAACTACTGCAAACATACCCCAGCACTTAAGAATAACGAAAAGCTGTGAATCTCAATCATACGTGAAAACTCAATACCAAAGCGATCGATAGATGAGAACACAGCCCAGCTAAAGTGAAGCTATGGCTGGCAATTATTTTACCCTTCGCACCCGGGAAACGTTCCCACCGCGTATGTACCTTGTATTCGAATACAAGGTACGTACCTTGTATTCGAATACAAGGTACGTACCTTGTAGAACGAATTTTAGGGTGCAACTTTCCTAGAGCGAGGGAAAAAAAAATAAAAAAATATATAGTAAATATTAGTACAGGAGGGAACCCCGCACCTGTGAGTAGGCCTGTCGGGGCGAGGTACTTGCCCTTCTTCATTTTCTTTGCTTTTGTGTAGGGCTGTCGGGCAAGGTCCCTTTATGTCGTTTCAGCATCAGATTTGGTGCCTGAATCTGAACGCCTTTGGGGAGAGGTGCGAAGCATCTCGATTGATCTGCTGCTATGCATCTCTGCGGAAGATATGTCCAGAACCAGGACCGTCTACATACAGCTCCAAGAAGTAGGAACATACGTTATACAAAAACTTCTTGAAATTATTCAAAAACATTGTAAGTACCTTTTCTTGCAGGTGCCTTCTCATGGTTGCGCACTTGTTCTTGGACTTCGCGTGCTCGTGAGAAGTGCTTGGAGAATAAAATCTTGCCCTGCGCTCACGATCCTGCACGCATTCTTCTCTTTCCAAACACGACTCTGTGTGTGTGTGTGTGTGTGTGTGTGTGTGTGTGTGTGTGTGTGTG